AGTAGAGACGGGGTTTCACCATGTTGACCAGGATGGTCTCGATCTCTTGACCTCGTGATCCACCCGCCTCGGCCTCCCAAAGTGCTGGGATTACAGGCTTGAGCCACCGCGTCCGGCCTGTTTTTTTTTTTTTAAAGGGAGTCTCACTCTGTCACCCAGGCTGGAGTGCAATGGCATAGACTTGGCTTGGCTCACTGCAACTTCCGCCTCCTGGGTTCAAGCGATTCTCCTGCCTCAGCTTCCAGAGTAGCTGAGATTACAGGCACCTGCCACCATGCCCGGCTAATTTGTGTATTTTTAGTGGAGATGGGGTTTTACCGTGTTGGCCAGGCTGGTCTTGAACTCCTGACCTCATGATCTACCTGCCTCAGCCTCCCAAAGTGCTGGGATTACAGGTGTGAGCCACCACGCCCGGCCTGTAAAACCCAGCCTTTACCTCTGTAGTGGATCTGAAGAGATAAAGCATAAGTGTGCCAAAAAATAAATAGTATTCATTGGGTAAATTAATTACTGAGACCAGCTGTATGCAGGGCACTGCATTAAGTCTAGTGATAGGAACATGCTTCTGGGTGGCCATGGAGATTATACCTAGTGAAATCGCAGTTGTGAAAGTGACTCAGTGTATCCGTAGTTGGAACAGAGTGTACACTCAGTAAATGTCTGCTGCATGCATACGTGTCTGAATAAAAGAAAAATTCATCCAGAGACACTCCTAATCAAAGTCTAGACCAGAGGTTCTCAGACTTTGCTGATTAGAAACACCTGGGAAGCTTTTACAACTGAATTGACCCCTGGAAATAGGGGCCCCAGAATACACATTTTTGAAAAGCTTCTTAGGTGATTGTGATGATAGGTTCAGGAACCTAAGATCTGGATTCTACATGGACCACTGTTGCAGGCAAGTCACTAGAATAGGTATTAATCCAAGAGCTGCCCTAAGGTAACCTGAGATTGGTTACCAGATAATGGATGTGGACAGTGATCAGAGATGAGAGGAGGAGAGGTTGGAAGGACCTGGGAAAGCTTCTTAGAGGACCAGAGATTTCACTTGGCCTTGCTGGATGGAGAGGCTTCTGGACAGGCACCATCATGAACCATTTAGACAAAATGAGCAAAAGAAAGTAGAGACAGACCGATTTCCTTGGAAAATTCCATGACTTTTATTAGAAATGACTCTAGATGCTTTGTGTAAATGTCTCTTTGGCAAAATTTGCAAGTCAGATTGGATTTTTCCATCTCTCCATCCTATTTGGACATCAATCAATGTGAGCCTAGGAAACAAAGATTCGTTTTCATGTTACCTTCACTCTGGCCAATTAGCTTCTCTAGTTTTTATTTCCAAGCAATTTAGTTGATGATCCTCCCAGAAACTTTCCAGGGGCACCAGAGTTCTGCTCTCCTTTGTTTGGCCATTTCCAAGTCCCCTTATCCTGATTCTTGTCCTAAGTACTGTTCTTTATGCAGGATGAGACAAAAATCTCTTCCCATAAGAGGCTTAAGGACTCGTGTCCTGGTTCCCCAATCTTAAAACCTGACTTTTTGGCTCTTGACTCCCCAGATTGACTCAGTGGCCAAATCCCAGTGTTTCTACTTTTTGCTCATCAACACGTTTCTTGGCTCCCTCCTTAGAGTCAGGTACCACACCAGCTGCTTTGAATGCATTATTTCATTTTATTTCCATAGCAACCCTGTGAGGATGGATAGTGTTCCCATTGTACCGATGGAGAATCAAGCTTAGAGAGATCAGATTACTTGTGTAAGATAAGAAAGCTAGGCAGGGCCGGGATGGTGGCTCACTCCTGTAATCCCAAGCACTTTGGGAGGCTAAGGCGGGAGGATCACTTGATCCCAAGAGTTTGAGACCAACATGGACAATATGATGAAACTCTGTCTCTACAAAAGATACAAAAATTATCTGGGCATGGTGGCAAGCACCTGTAGTCCCAGCCACCCAGGAGGCTGAGGTGGGAGGATCGCTTGAGCTGGAAGGGTGAGGCCACAGTGAGCCACTGCACTCTGCCTGGAAGATGGAGCAAGATCCTGTCTAAAAAACAGACAAACAAACAAAAAAACCCCAAAAACAAGGCACCAAAGATGCTGTGCCTCCAATGTGGTTATTTCAGACTGTCTCTCATGGGCATGACCTCATTTCCAGAGTAGATTCCAGCTTTTTCGCTTAGCCCTTGAGGGAGTGCTATTCCCCAGATCTGGTCACAACTTTCTCTTCTCACCTTGTCTGTTTCTTACACAAGCTTCCTTCTTACCACACCTTTGCTCACTCTCTTCTGCTTGAGAGAGCCTTTCCCATCTTCCCCTGCTCTCTAGTTCCAAGCTAAAGGAGCACTTTCTTCTCAGAACTCCTGTGGTCTTTTATCTGCCTCTCTTTTATGACAGTTGAACTTGCAGCTGCTTCATTGTCATGTGAGTGACATGTGTCTTGTGGCCCCAGCAGTAGGTCTTCCATGTGTATACCTCAGCAACAAGCGATGGGGAAGGTCAGGGTCCAAGGCTAAGCAGAGCTCATCCCCCTTCACTCTGGCTGAACAGCCCACTGACATTAGGAGCTTAGCTTCTTTTTCAAAAGAATTGGGTTTGTTTTTTAACTTTGCTGAAGAGAAACAAAATAAAGACATTATCTGTAGTAGAAAGAAAATAATTTATTATCTTTCAAAGTTAAATAGAATGTTGGGATTATTGAGACCAGACAGTGGCAGCTGACAACAAGGATACTGTGTGTTGTAATAATTGTTCTGCTTGTGACTCTGAGCACCTCACTTAATCCCTCTGGACTTTGGTGTCCTCCCTGGTAAAGCAGGTGTATATACTGGGAGAAGGGGAAGACAGTTGTGGGGAGGCTTCACAGAAATGCTCTCTTAGGTCTCTTCTTACTCAGACATGCTTTGACTGGAACTCCCAAATCTCTCCCAGAGCATCTTAAAGAAAGTAGAATAATTTAATCATTAACATGTGGACCCCAGACTCAGTGTATGCATTTGGATGCTTTTGGTTGCAGCCAATAGAAATCTAACTTCAGTTGGTTTAAACAAGAAAGGGAACTTCTTTGTAACTAGATTAATCGACTCATGTAACTAGAAAGTCTAGGAGTGGGTTAGGTTTCAAGTATGGTCTAATCTGTGGATTTTTTTTTTTTTTTTTTTTTTT